ATTATTTTTAGACAGGGTGTCTAGCCCAGGTTGGCCTTGGACTCACGGTAGGTATAACTCAGGTTGACTTTGAACTCTTGATCTGCCTGCCTCTACATTCCAAGTACTGGTATTATGGGCTCATGTTGCCACACTTGGCTCATGTATGTCGGAGATTGATCCAGGGCTTTGTACGTGCTAGACAGCCATGCTACCAACTGTGTTACATTATCCAGTTTTTGTTTTAATATTTTGTTTTTTGAGACAATGTCTCACTATGTTGTCCAAGTAACTCTCTAATTTATGGTGTTCCTCATGTCTCACCCTCCTTAGTATTAGGTTTATAGCTATGAATCAACAAGCTGTGTGGTGATATTTTGTTTGTGTTCTGACAAATAAAGCTTACCTGGAGATCAGAGTTCAGAGCTAGCCACTAGTTAACTAAAGAGGCTAGGCGGTGGTGGCTCACACCTTTAATCCCAGCACTAGGGAGGTGGAGACAGTAATATAAGGCGGGAAGAGACAGCAGCTCACTCTTTTTGGTCTGGAGGTAAGAGGTGACTTTGGCTAGCTTCTTTACTTCTCTGATCTTTCAGTATTTACCCCTATATCTGACTCCAGGTTGTTATTATTATTATTATTATTATTATTATTATTATTATTATTATTGTTATTAAAGACCAATTAGAATTCATGCTACAAAGCTGGGTTTCAAACTGAGTTTTAATATGTTGAATTTTGTTTTAATATCTCAGAGGAAGAATTAATAATTATTATCTTGGTAATCACTCTTCTCAGTTTTACAATTTCAAGCAAATAGAAAATCAGAATTTTTATCTTATTTTGCTGACTGTACCCATAGTTTAATTTTATGAAATTCCTTATTTTTTAACCTAAAAATTTAAATTTAACTGTCATATAAGAAGAAATTCAGCCAGTAGTGGAGGCACATGTCTGTAATTCCAGCAATTGTGAGGCAGAGGCAGGTGGATCTATATGAGTTTGAGGCCAGCTTGGTCAACAGAGCAAGTTCCAGGACAGCCAGAGCTACATAGTGAGACCCTATCTCAAAAAACAAGAAACAAAGGGCTGGAGAGATGGCTTAGTGGTTAAGAGCATCAGCTGCTCTTCCAGAGGTCTCGAGTTAAATTCCTAGCAACCACATGGTGGCTCACAACCATCTATAATGAGATCTGGTGCCCTCTTCTGGTGTGCAGACATACATGTAAGCAGAACACAGTATACATAATAAATAAATAAATCTTAAAAAAACAAAAAGCAAAAAACAAACAAACAAAAAAACCCAAAAAATATTTCATGGGATGGGAGTTGAAGAAAATGTGGCCGAAAGATACAAAATTTCACTTAGAAAAGAGTTCAAGAGACCTGGTTATTTTAATAATGTATTATATACTTGAAAATTACTAAATGAGTAATTTTTTTTTTTTTTTTTTTTTTTTGGTTTTTTGAGACAGGGTTTCTCTGTGTAGCTTTGCGCCTTTCCTGGAACTCACTTGGTAGCCCAGGCTGGCCTCGAACTCACAGAGATCCGCCTGCCTCTGCCTCCCGAGTGCTGGGATTAAAGGCGTGCGCCACCACCGCACGGCTAAATGAGTAATTTTTAGTGTTTTCCTGATAAAGAATTTTAAATATGCACTTTAATACATATGATAAATACCTTGATTTGTCATTTAAGTTTTGTTTTTTGCCGTCCTGAGGATCAAACCTAGAGCCTCATATATTAGGCAGATACTCTAGCACTGAGCCACACTCCCAACTCTAAGGAGCTTGTTTTAGCCTTTCTACCATGTATGTGTATGTGAGGTTACATACCATAAATATGTATGATTTTATTACTCAATTAAAACAAAAGCGATGGAAAAGGAAACACTTACATTGTAAAATGCCTTTAGACAGAACATAGCACCGAGGTATGGACTTGTCTGCTTCTCTGTGTATCTGTCCTAATGTAACTGAAGATTTACTAATAGAGCCCAGTGTGGAGGTACCCTTGGGAGACTGAGGAAGGAAGAGCACAAGTCTGATGGCAGCCCAAGTTACATAGACTACTCTAGGCCATCCTGGGCTACATTGGGAGACTGTGTCTCACAAAACAGAAAAACAAACAAGGCTCACTGGAAAGGCAGATAGCAGAGAGAGAACAGCAGAGTGGAGTATGTTTGTAATCGCAGCACCTCTGAGGCTAAGGCAGGAGGATTGCCATGAGTTCGAGGCAAATCTGGGCAATCCAAGGCAGACCCTGCCTCAGAACATACAGGTGTGTGTGGGATATCAGCACAGTACGTTGTGTGCCTCTAATTCCATTAAAAAGATGACTTTGTGATGAGAAATTTGAGGATTGGCATTTAGCTACACAATGGAGTTATCTATCATTGCTTTAAGAGTAACAGTAGTGTACTAGTTTTTAAAAACTTAGTCCTTATATCTTAGAATGCAGGAGTACTGAGTGGAGGCAATGAAGTATCTGGGGTTGGTTTTAAAATGATCCATTGGGGGGAATGGATAATGAGAATATAGGGTAAATAAGATGACTTGTGCTTCATTCAATGCTCGTTACAACTGGATGATGTTGAAGGATCATCACACTAGGTTTTTCTTATGTCCGATAGTTTCTGTAATAAAGTTAAAATGTCCAACATATATAAACTTTAACAGACACTCCATTTCTTGCATTAATAATTTTTTAGTTCTACTTTATAGTCTTAGTTACAGCGTTTGGAGGAGGCAAGGGAAATTAGAACATTTTCATTACTCTGTTTAGACGCAGGATGGCACTCTTTGAATAAGTAATTAGCCGAAGTCCACTTCTCACTGAAAAAGCTGCTTTACCGGGCAGCTGCTTCCTAGGGCAGCCTAGCTTAACAGCAAAGGCTTTCCAGGTAATGACATAGTGATTTGTGGTGACACCCTGACTACTTTTCTGTGTTGGCTGTATCCATTTTATACCAGTGTTTGGAGCATTAAGGAAAGTTGAAGCGCACACATATTTAACGGATGATTTTTATGCAAAGGCACCTAGCTGTGTGCCACGTTTATTTTTTGGTGTTTGCTAGTATTGCTGTGAGGTCTAGCAATCTCAATGTATTTTACACACACACAGCTTAGTGAGTCATCTTTATTTAAAACTGTCAGTACCAGCCACAGAACACATTTCTACATTTACTATGCAGATTAATGTCAAAATGCCAGCTATCAACTGGACAAATGCTATCGCCTTCCACCCCTTGAAGAAGTGTTGAAGTAAGTATTTTGTTCCACGTTCCCAGTCTGACCTATGCCTTCTTTAAGCCAACTATTCATAGGTTTTCCAGAACAATTACACCTACCACCACCGGTGTAGGAAAGGAAAAAAACAAAAAACAAAAAAACAAAACCCAAATGGACAACAGCAGAAACTAGAAATTTAAGAACTGGTATTTAGAAAGTGCCTCCTCCTTATTCTCCTCCCTGAGGTCCAATTCCGTTTTCTGGTTCTGACCATAGGAAATTGACTTGGTGTTAATTAAAGACTGGAATTTCAAGGCGTAATTTCCCCTCCCCCAACCTTGGCAACCATTAAACAACTCCCAACTCCACACTCCACCCGACAGACAGATAAATGATGCAGCAGATTACACCATTGAAAGGCAACGTTTGTCCTCAGCTATTTTCGATTTCCCCCCCTTGCTTCTGATACTTGCGCCAGACATTGTTTGCTTGCTTAGGACTGGGAAAGGGCATTTTTTTTTTTTTTTTTCTTCTACAGTTTAATGCCAGGGGCTTTCTCCCAGCAAATGAAAGTGAAAGTGCTACGTTGTTGTGGTATTTTGCCCTTAAAGGCTGGAATGGCAGCTGGTGGGGAGGGGGAGGTGGGATAGGAAAGCTGGAAGAACCAGTTCTAAGGTTTTGTTTGTTTATCTTGAGATCTCAGCGGGGCTCCTGTGTCGTCGTCCCCCTCCCCCTTACCGTTTTAGGGGGCTGATTTCGGATTTATTTTCCTTTGAACAGTCATTGAAGTTTCATTCAATGTATTGCCTAAGAAATACATCTCACTTGTTGCTTTCCCCCGGTTGCAGCTTAAAACGCCATCCAGTCTCTCATCTGGAAATAATGCAACACCCCCCCCCCCCGCCGCCCCTTTTCCTTTTAAAGCTCCACATAACCTGAAGTCGATAATCACATGGAAACTGTGCAGGTCTCAGTTTATGTTTAGCTTTCATTCTTTTGGTGGAAACCTCACTTGTTGAAGTATGCATTCAGCACAGGCGTTTTGTACACACGTTTCTTTCAAGTCTTGAAATTTGCCTGCCGCCCTGATCTGACTCCTTACATGACAGGTTTTATGAGCAACTTCTAAATGCTTTTATTGTACAGATTTTAAAAGCAGAGAATGACACCGAAAATTCTAACAGTGACATTAGTATATCTAAAGTCACCCAACCTCTCTACCCCTCGTTCCCTTTTCCAAGGAACTACTAACAAAGCCGACAAGACTCTGAAAGAGGTTAGAGGAGGAGGAAGGAGGCGGGGTGGGCTAGGGGAGAGAGGTTAGGGGCCAGAGTTTCTCTCATTCACAGGGCGGAAAAGTTGACATTGTCTAAGCCCTTCTGAATGGCTGGTAGTTGGATACCCCGATTGTACCTCTACTTCCCCTCCCCCTCCACGTGACGACCCAGGACACATGCGCACCCGACGCAGCCCAGGCACATCTGCAGACTGACGTCAGTTTGTTCTGCCTCTGAGGAAAGCTGCCAAAATTTTCTTCTGCTGCAATTGAAGTTGGCTGGGGGCCGGCAGTGAGCTCGAGGGCTACTTCAACAAAACTTTTCCTGCCCTTCCTGCTCCTCTGGTCTTCTCTCTCCTGATACCTTTTGATGCTCTGCACATGTTATTTGCATAGCAAAGGCACTAAGCTGTCCAGGAAGAGAGGGCACCACTTCCACCCCCAATAAGCCTTTCCCTTCTTCTTTTCTTTCTTTTTTTCCCTTTCCTTTTTTTTAGGGGGGGTGGGCGGGGGGAGGGAGAGAGTAGGGGGTTTGCAAAGCACGTCTTAGGTTGATAGCCTTGGATGTATTGAAAGCATTTTTTTTCTTAAATTTTTCTTTTCTTTTTTTTTTTTTTTTTAACTGCCAAATCGGCAGTCAGTTCTCTAAAGCTCTGGTTAGCGAGACTATAGGGTTTTATTCTGGCTGCAGAATAACTGGCTGGTGTGGCTTTCCAAAGGGGGGCAAAAAGAAAAGAGAGAGAGAGGAGGGAGTACGTGAGTCGTCCAGTGCAATCTCTATTGTTTGAAATTTACTCTTTATCAGAATTTGAAGATGAAAACGGTAAGGAAGACTTCATAATATTCAATGAAACCTTAAAAAAAAAACCTTGTGCTTTGCTTGTCTTACAAATAACGCTTAGAACTCAGTCTCTCTCTCTCTCTCTCTCTCTCTCTCTCTCTCTCTCTCTCTCTCTCTCTCTCT